CACATGGCTTGGTGATAAATTCGAATTTATCATGTGATAAGCCGCAGCAAGCCGTGATAAGCCGGCTTATCTTTGAATACTATAAGTCAAATAATTTTTCTATATAACTAAATATAGGGTGTGACAAATAAGCGACGGCAATATAATACATTAGTAAATTATTATTTGTTACACCAGACTTTTGTCATATCGCAATACCGAGAGCTAAGTCAATCCAACTTTAATTATTAAGAGAATTACCATTATGATTATGAAAAATAAGTTGCAATATAAGTTTTACGATATATTATAGTATTGACACTTTACTTAGATATTGTGTTATATACATACCTTAACTAAACTAGATATTAATGTTGGTAATCATCTGTTAAGTAATCTAAATTATATAAAAAATACGTACTGTATTAGATATATGTTGGTTTATATTATAAAAATAGAGTTTGCTAGGGTGATCACTAATCTTTATTGTTGTAAATATTTCTTATAATAAAAGTAATATGTATATGTACGAATACTGTTGAACCTCTCCAAATAGTGAATAAGTTTTGTATCAGCATTGAGAGGTTAACGGTTTGAAACTATCATAAGCTATTTGATTATATAGCATAAAAGGATAGGTTAATTTTCTATTGGATTTGACAGGGTATCGATTTTGACAGGATCGTTTAAAAGGTTCAACAATATATATTTGTGGTATGTCTTGTACTCTTGGTGATCGTCCTGGCAAACATAGTAATTGTCATTGTTTGTACTAATCAGGTATTGTTTACCGGCTATATTTGTTTATTACTTTTTATACATATAACTGCACAGATATATTGAGTACTTATCAATTTAAAAAAAATAAAAGCTTTGAATAGATTCTTGCATATAAGCAGTGCTAACAGTAATGTTTAATTAATACAACATACTTAATACATATTTGTGAAAAAAAACATCTGAAATTTCTAGCATATTAGCATAATAATCATATTATATATTATTAGCATAACAATGATTAAATCAATTAAAGCTCAATAGTACAAGTCTTGGCATAATGGTTTGGTTGCTTACAACAGAAGCAAAATCGTGTACCTTTAGCTTTTTTTTTCAAACCACTATTATTATTAGAATAAGGCTTTTTTAGTTCAGATGAACTTTTAATATGCTTAAACCATGGAGTATCTTTTTGCTTTCTAACAACTGGATCTTGAACAGTTGATATATTGAAAGATGAATCACTTTCTTGAAAAATATCTGAATCAGATTAATTAAATTCATTATTGCTTTGAATATTATTTTTCACAGAGTTGGTAGATATACGTTTAGAATTTACTGAATGTTGGTGGGTGAAATTTTCAAGAAACTTGTTAAGTGTTTCCATAGCAGTAATACTAGCGTCCAGACCAACAGTAATAGCTTTCTTGCAAAGCCCATTTGTAATTCCATATGCACGGTGGGAATCAAGTATTTTTAACATAGTTTCTAGTGTAATATTGTAACCTAAATATGTTGGAATCAAATACGATATTGGTTTACAAACTAAGATAGCACTTCCATCTTGGTAGGTAATTGAAGATTGAGATTTTAATAATTCATATGATTTTGTATAGTTTTTATCTGTATACCAGTGTCATGAGATCATAAGAATATGAAATGCAGCAATATGTGAAACTGTCATAACTTTTGTGAAATATCGACAAAAAAGTCTCCGATTGACAAGTCATAAGCAAGTACAAACATGGGTACTATCTTCAAATACAACAATATAATTTTTATAAGCTGCCCTATAATGAATAACTTCCCAAATTTCTTTAATAGATAATGTAAGTGAATTTACAATTTCGTCAATATTTGTTACTGGAAAGTCATCAAAATCCTCAAAAAAATTATATTTACTTTGCACTTGTATAAAGGTTTGATCTATATTTTCTCTAGATATTAGTGTTAAATTATACCAAAGGGCTTCTGCTATCTCAGCTCTTTGCATAGACAAAACAGTTGGTGTTAAAAATTTGGCAAGCCACTCATCGACTTCAGGTAATAGTTTAGCCAATGTTGTTATACTTGTAGGCTTAGCATAGCTTTCAGACCAGCTATTATAACGAATAAATAATGATTCCCGAGAAAGTTAATTATCTAAAGCACTTGAAAGCTTACATAGACTTGTTTTGCTTGTTAAAGTAAATTTAATGATTGCATTAAGACCTTCCACTCTTTGTGTTAATTGAACACCTGCAGTAAATTTATATGAAATCCAAGCTAATACCTATCTTTCTTTAGTGCTATATAGCGTTCGTTCAAGATAGTTTGTTGCAGATGGATATTTCTCAATAAGTAATTTCCACTCTGATTCAAATACTTGCTTTGATAAGCTATTGTGTGCCTTATACCAATCTTTTATAAAATCATCCCAACTTGACCCAAGCTTGCTTTTTAAATTTTTTGGCAGATTCTGCTTGATATAATAAATACAGTTTATTTGATAAGTTCCAGGCATTATTTTTTCAATTGCTGCTTCATTTGCAATATCAGAATCCGTTACAAGAATATGTAGTTGGTGTCTAGTAGATTCCAAAATCTTGGAAAGAACCCACTCATAGCTAGTAGTAGTTTTATCGTTCATTAAGGCTTGGGCAACAAGATGACTTCTATTGTAGTTGTTAATACATACAAAGAGACTAAGAGCCATATTAAAATGATTAGTGCTATATATATTATCATTTAAAATGATATCATGATAATGGATCCAAGTTTCGACTTGAGTAGGTTTCATTCAAAAAAGTGATTCTAATGAATTTGAAATAGGATCTAAGTGCCAATGAACCACCCAATTTTGATCCTGTGCTTTCTTATTTAAAAGCATTTCTAGAAGAGTAGAAGCCTCATTAACAACTTTACTATGTTGCTTGAATGATTGAATCGTAAGAGACAAAGCTTGTAGTAAAAAAAGAGTATCAAGATATTTATCTTCAAGAAGAGAATGTTGCATTCTCATATTTAAGCCCTTAGAAGTATAGTATTCAATATCCTGGTTTACTTCTTTAGAAAATTGTCGATAATGAGGAGCAAAAATAATAGTATCAAGATGAATCTCATAATTATGTTCAAGATGACAAGAGTTAATTTTGATTTTTCCAGTAGTTTTTGGACAGGTGATATTAACGATCCATTTGCATCCTAAACATTTTGTATGTGATTGCTTTTGCTGCTCTAAAATAGCTGTCTTTTTTGAATTGCTTTTGCCCTGATGTTCACATGTGTATCGACACCTTCTACGAGTAATAGCATCAAACTTTAATTCAGTAATTATAGCTACAAAGCCATTTTGTTTTGCATGCACACTGATATAATGATCAAGCTGTTTCCAACTATGAAGTTCCAAATCAGAAACGATTTCATATTTTTCTTCATTTTCAAAATTTCTATTTTGTTGTTGATCTATTTCGGTTATATTATCATTATTTTCTGTAGAATCTACAGCTAACACATTAAGCATAGGCAAATCTTGTTGCATGAACTGTGCAAGAGAATCTTGTGAATCAGCATTTTTATTTAATAAAGATTGCGTATATTGAGATAATAATTCCAAAGAATCTTTGATTTCTTGTTGAGAATCATGAGATGTAAATAATAAATAATTGGATTGAAATAATTTTGGAATTTCACACATGTTAAGTTGTCTTGAATAAGTTTGTCTGTTGTACTAATAACTTCTGCAATTACTTCTTGCTAATTAAGTTATTATATTAAGAAAAAAAATTCTTGGTTATTATTTTGTCTCCTTGAGATAAATACATTTAATAGTTATAAATAACATGCAGTCACCTGATATCTACTTTTTTAACACATATTGCTTCAACTTTATTCTTGCTTACACTTTCACAAGTAATTTAACACTCTTTTTCAGGCTATTATGCTTAAATAAAGAAAAAAAAACTCTCAATTATTGTTGTGCCTATTAGAAAAGACTGTATAGGAAAAATTTTATAAATAACATATAGTCACCTGATATGTATGTATTTCCTTTGCTTCTATTTTAATATTGGCATATACTTTCACAAGTAACTTAACACTTTTCTTAGTTATTACTCTAAATAAAGAAATAAAAAGTCCCAGTTATTGTTTCGTTTATAAGAGATAAGACTATAATAAAAGTCAGACATAAACCACAAAGTCGTCTAATAAAGGTGCATTCGTACGTATCACTCAACTTTATTTGCCTTGAACTTCTACAAATAATTTATTAAGTCTTATTAGTGTTATGCAGAATAAAATGAGAAAAAAAAGTATCTAATTGTTTCGATTCCTTTATTAAGAACAAGAACGTACAAGAAAATTTTATATTGACTTCCTTTTACTTGATATTTTCTTATTTTGTACTGTATGTGTTGCTTCACTACTCGTTATAATGTTGTTCCTTTCATTTGTTATAACTTAACCTTGTACGATCTAACTATTTTTGCACTGCAAATAACTCTTCTTACACTAAGCTAAAAAGCAATAAATCGATAAAGCGAAAGAGAAGAAAAAACTGATTATAGTTTCGATTACGCAGCATTATTTATTCTGATAGATCAATTACATAATGCAAATCGAACATACAATGTACTTACCGATGATCTGGGTCACATGAATTTTTTGTATATGGTTACAAAATTTATTTGTAACCTACAGTTACAAATATATTAGTCCTATTAATAAAATATTAAAATTCACAAAATTGTATTACTTAAACCTATCTACATGCTATAAATAAATTTGTTCTATATATAAAGATATATTTATTTAAGATTTATGCTTCAGATGCACACTGGTTTCCAGTTTCTAGTAATAAATAATATTAAGTAAATGTCTATTTGAAATAAAATCTAATAATTTAAATATTCTCGATTTTTTTGTCTTTTAAATTTACTATATTTATTTAAAATATATTTTAATATATTCTAATATATATATATATATATTTTTAATATTAAGATGACTACTTAGGCCCTTGGCATTTTATTAGTTCAAGTAGGTAGGCTGGTATTAGTTAATTTTAATACTAGCTTTACATATTGTATTAGTATCACAAGAATACAACTAGTCACACGTATAACTTTGATTGCCTAATTAAGTAGTCCACCCGAAGCGTTAGTGCTAGCTATCATATCTATAGCCTAACTAGAAAGCTATTTATTTAAACTCTTTGGCTTCAACTGACATTACATGTTCCCTTCTAATATACCCTTTCACAAGGTAATTTACTGTTAAAGACCCTAAGACTTTAGCCACCAATCTAATTTGGAGAGTATTTATTCTTGTAGTAAACCTAACAGAATAGTGTATGTCCTACATATGTGCTTACCTGCATGTTTGATAACTTTTTCCTAACTAGTACCTGTTGTACTGCCACCACCGGGTTCGTATCTCAAGCCAACTTTTGGGATGCTGCTGTAACTTGATCTGTATCTCAAGCACAACCTTTCTAATTAGTCATCAGTTATGTACTCCTGCCCTTATAAGGTTCACAACAACTCCGGTACCCGCATTCTAGCCATCTTCTTACCCAGATTTTTTATCGGTTTCTCCCTTACTTCTAGCCGGCAACTCGGATAAGTTGGTCTGCTCAGGCTTTAGGTGTCTAAAGGACACCCTCCCCTTGGTCTATACTTTTGGAGCATATGCCCTTTTCTTCCAGTGCGATAACCTGGCAATTCAGCTAGTGTGTCCTCCACTAGCGAACCTGGTTGCTCGGTTCTCTGATCCCAGGCCCTAGTTCGAATTCAGCCTTCCTGTAATACCATCGAAGATCACTGCTACTTCCAATTCGGGACTTCCCAAATAGGTTTTTAGTTATGCCGGTTTCTCAGATTTATTACGCCAAAGCTTCTATTACAAGATGGTGTGACCAAAGTTACAAATTAGTTCTAGATCCAACCGATAAGCATAGCCGTCAACTGAAACACAAGCCTATTTTTCAAATATCATTGTCTATGAGATTTGAACTCTAGACCTGCCACTTGGAGAGGGTGATGACTAGACCACTATTCTAATATTTTGAATATTTTTAAAATAATTCTAGTTATTATCTAGTCATCTTCCCAAACAAGATCTCCAATGCCACCTTAGAGGTTGTTGGTACTACCTTGCCAATTGCAGATTTATATGCACAACCTTTGTGTAATAGAACCAGGATTGTTGGTTTACTATAATTTTTAAAATTTTTTGGTAAATTTATCAGGCTGTTTAGTAAATTACCGGTAAATTTACCATTAGTTATTCTTAAAAAGGTTTATATAATATAAAATCATGTAATTTGATGATTAAAAAAATTTTTTTTGGCTAATCAAATTACATAGTCAAACTCAACCTTAAGTATATAAAGGTAAATTTACTATTAGTTATTCTTAGCACTAGGCTTAAAATTTAAAACCTTTTTCAATTATGTAAAAAGTTTTCATTAAGTTTAATAAAGATA